GATTATTATTAGCAGTTGCCGAGGTGACGACGGTGGTTCACCCTCTCCGGGCTGCACCTCCATTGGTGCGTGTCGACGTTTGGATCGATGATATACGCATTGCAGGGTCGAAAAGCGGTGCGACATTGTGGGAAGCCCAAGTGCTTCGTAATGCGGACAGTTGTCACGCCACGATAGGGGAGGATCGCGAATCGGGCGCCACGCAGTACACCTTCCTCGGGGTGCGGTTTGATCACACTCACCGTGCGGTATCCCTGAGTGAAAAGTTTGTCCGGTCTGTACGCGCCATGTCGGCGCTCAATTCTTCAACCATCGCGGAAATGGAGGTAATGGTGTCACGTTTTTTGAACGCGGCAGCCATTTTGGGCACGCGTTTATATGACAACTACTTTTTCATCAAGGCAGTGCGACGCCGATTATCGGCACTTAACCGGGAGATTGTGCAGGAGACATCCCCGGCGAACCTTCCGCCGTCAGTGGCTGGTTTGGGCGAGAGATTGTGACACATCATCGAGAATAATCGTAAGCGAATCATCAATCCCACGGAAAAGGCATCGGCCACCATCATCACGGATGCATCGCTCCATGGATGGGGAGCCGTTTTTATTCCAGACTCCGGCGACGTTAAAATTGCCGGAGGGAAATGGGAAAAGAGGAAACCTTTTCTTATCATGCAGGCCGAGGCACGCGCGGTACGCTTAGCCCTATCGGTCTTTTCCGCCATCTTGCCATCCACCATGGACGTTTGGGTGGGCAATACTTCGCTGCAAGGGGAGGAAAATACAGCTCAAAATCACACGCGTCGACGTGGGAGCTGCAACGGATATTAATAGGAAAATTTTTTTTTTGGAAAAAATTCCGATGCCGGGGATCGAACCCGGGTCTAGCGGGTGAGAGCCGCTTGTTCTAGCCACTATACCACACCGGATCTGTGGTTTCTTTTGGTTCGGGCATGTGAGCAAAATTCTTTTTTACTGTTTCTTTTTTTTTGGAAAAGGCGCGTCGCCGTATTTGCGCGGACGCGTTTGTTGGCGTTACTTTTATATTTGAGCAGGCTTGTGTCAGACGGCTGCGGGATGGAAGTTGCTTTTTGCGGTTCGGATGGAGACGGGCGGGCGGTGGAAGTCGGCGCGTCGCGGGGTCGATGTTTGAAGGATGCTGTTGTGTGCTTGGGCAAGGTGATGTTCTCTCTTGGGGTTTGGTTGCGGCAGTTGTCTTGTTGTTGTTGTCGAAATGGGCAGTGATACTTTGATTTTTCTTGCGTGGTTGTTCGTGTTTATTTTGGAAGAGTTATTATTATTATTATTATTATTAGGAGCTTGTGAAAAGAATGATCGCGGGAGAGCTGGCTAGCTTAATTAATGTATGTGTATATCCTGATAAATGAATGCATTCTTTATGATACTTTCTACCGTATGAATCTTTTGGGAAGAACGCGACTTTGTAGGGGCAGGGAACCGATAGAGGCCGGATAATTTTGTTTTTGTTTTTATTTTGCCATCCCACCCACCCCCTTTTGATTCCCACCACGGGGCGGGGTCTTGTGGTTGGAGGACCCCAAAGTCTGCCACTTCTTAAGTAATAATATTTCAAATCCTAACTGAGGACAAAGGACCATGCTAATGGTCCACAGAATTCTATATATTGAATGAGAATAAAACATTGAAGCAATTAACTAACGAACCTTTTTTCCTAACTTGTTTGGTTTCCATAGATAATTTCAGGATCCGGCCAGCTGCCCGGAAGATTATTCTATTAATTATTGTATTTCGCAGAGTGAATTATTTTTAGATTTTCTTGAATTTTTTTCAAGTTACCGAATTGTTTTTAGGGTCCTTTTTCTGTATTCGGTTTTGGATTAATCATTTGGTAAATATATATCAATAAAAAATATATAAATAAATGAAGCAAATAAATAAATAACTAAATAACTAAATAACTAAATAACTAAATAAATAAATAAATAAATAAATAAAATAAATAAATAAATAAATAAACAGTTATGTAAATAAATGAATCAATCAATCAATAAATAAATGAATGAATCAATCAATAAAATAAGTAAATAAATATTGTTATTAATACTAATCTTCGTTTATTGGTTTTTGATATGGATTGTATTTTGGAACAGTTTTTATTCTTGTATGCGTTTTCTGTTTTCTTTTGATTGGAAAAACGGGAAATATTAACTGCCTTCCCTTTTTTTAAAATAAAACTTACTGGTTCGGCTACTATTTTGATATGTTTAATTACAGCTTGATTTTTATGTATCTGATACCCATTTGATATCCGCTTAAAAGATCATTATTATTTGAAATTATTCTATTTGAGGAAAGGGAAGGTGGATCTAGAGTACTGTGATTATCAAGTGAATATTTATTGAAGAATTTGCTTTTTACCCCATAGAAGCCTGATTTGAAATGAAATTCATTATTTGCGCTTATGACAGGATGAGACCCCAAACATAAAAATTCAAAGTTGGCGAATACTATACATATATATTCATATGTAATAGTCCAAGAAAAGTAAATAAAATATTTATTTATTTAATTTCATATTAGCATAAAGAAAAAGAGAAGAAAGAAAGAAACCGACGCAAATTAATAAATTGTCCGTTTTGTATTTTAATGTTTTAAAATTATTAAAATTTAAAAATGCCTTATTATTATTATTATTTGACATTCTTGTATCAGTAACTTTTTGGGCGATCACACTTTTTTTTTTTTGAATTATGTAGTTTTACTATTATCGTTTACAGATTTCTTGTTTGATCATTCTTTTTTTTTCATTGGCGATTTAATTAAATTGTATTGTGAATTAAATCGTTGAATTTGGCTAAAAAATATGTGGAATATAAATATAATTCACGTGGGGCTTTAAATGGATTTTCCATGCGATATCGTAATGCTGCTGCATGAACGTTTGCAATTTATTTGTCACGGTTTTTCTTTAAGTCTTATTGCTTGAAAAAAGTGTTTTTGAAAAAATATTGAGTTTTCCGATATATGTCTTGTTTATTTCTCCTACTTTAACAGCTTGCATATAATATCTTAATTTTTTATATATCTTTCAGAAGCCGAAGAAAATAAGAGCATGGAGATTTATATTGGACTGTGTTTATGTGGCTGGATTAGTGGGAGAAGAGGGCTCGAAAGCAACAGAAAATGTAAGAGTTTGGCTTCAATAGGAAATGCGTTTTGGCGTTCACTGTGTTCGACATTTTTTTATTGTTTTTCTTTCAAATGTATTATGATTTTTTTTTTTTTTTTTTTTTTTTTTTGAGTTATGCTTTGTTTGCTATTAGTGTTATTTGTCGCTTGTGGAGAAACATTTTAAATTTGCATATATATTTTTGTAAGGAAATACGGATTTTTGTGTTCCAAGAAAATGCTAAAGGAGGAAAAATAGCTCAAGTTATAATGGAAAACTGCGGGACTATAAGGTGATGGTACGTATTTTGAATATATATATTTTAAACTTATTGAGCGATTATTTTTTACCAAAAATATAACAAAAACGGGAAAGGCAATGGTGTTTTTTCTGTGTTTTGGGCCCGTTTAATCAGTTTTGAAGTTTTAATCCCATATATATATTTCTATGTTATTGTTGGATTTTATGATGTAGTTTTTTAATTTTTCTCTTATTGGATTGATGATACTCAGTATAAATATAAAAATGCTTATTTATCTATTACTAAAATCTTGATTTGGATTCAATTTTGCCTTCTGCATTATTTATTAAATAATTTTCGGGAACCTCAATAAATAAATAAATAAATAAATAAATAATAATAATAATAATAATAATAATAATAATAATAATAATAATAATAATAATAATAATAATAATTCTCACGTGAAATTTATGCGGTGCCACGTTTCAGTTTTGATCTGCATTTGTTTTTGTAAAATGTAAATTTTTTTGGATTGCAGATTCTGTGTTTGATTTTTGTGGAACAATGGTTTTGATCGTTTTTTTTTCCTTTGGGTGATTTAGAATAAGGGAAATTAAAGAATGATGACTTTCCATTCATGTTAGTGAGGCAATTATCTTAGGACGTGATGTGGAGTTGGAGGAGGGATGTTGCTTTTAAGTTTTATTTGTGATATTTTAATCTGCACTATTCCAAAGATGGTGTTTGGATTATCTTTTGTTTGAAAGAAAAATCATTTTAGAATAATTTATGGAGATTTGTCTTTTTTTTTTTTTAAATGTATTCTATCCAAATTACTTGAAAAGCAAAAAAAAAAAGCCATCTTTTAAAGTTAATATTGGTTAAATTATTTTTTAGGAATATATAATGTTTTTTCTTTTTTGGCATTTTGAAGTTTACATACTTATTAATGGAGATAAAAAAGAGGAGTTTGATTTTTTCATTTTTCATTGTTTGATATCTAAGAGAGTTGATAGTTTTTGATCTTTATGGTTTAAGTTATTATTAAATACATGAAGAAATAATAATAATAATAATAATAATAATAATAATAATAATAATAGAGTTTTAATTGGATGTAATTATTAATGAACATGGATACATGGAAAAAAAAAAAAAACATGTGCTTTACGAAAAAATAATGTTTTGCTCCGTTGTGGTTTGGCGTACTGCAATTTTCAATGCAATTTTGAGACAGAGGATTATGAGGGGTGAATTCAAAGTTAAATTCTCATTTTTTGTCTTTTCTTTTTCTTTTTGCTTTGTTCTTGCGTTTTTATCGTTATTAATTGCCTATTTTTTCTCCTATTTTCTTCATTTTTTTATGGTGATTTTGCCAAGTGGTATTGAGAGGGGATGGACAACGAAGAAATGATTTTCTTTCCCGCTTTAGTAATGAAAGAATTAATGGAATATTTGGCTTTATTGAGATTTTTTTTATATTATTATTATTATTATTTGCGGAGGTCTGTCTCTTTTATCAATATCCATAACCCTTTTTTTACTTTTTTTTTTTTTTTTTAGGGTATATATATATATTGGCTTTATTTGTTATCGTCTTGCTGAGATGTCTGCCGAGAATCAGTGGGAAGAACTTGAAGATTTACCCCAACAAAATAAGGAGGCTTCAGCGGAAATTGACAATGATCTCCAAGACGGGAGCCACTCCGACGCTGACAAAGCCAATGGTGAAGTAGGCGAAATCCAAGAGACATCTGAATACCCAGTGGAGAAGGCTGAAGCCAATAACCAACCGGAATTTTGTGACCAAGAAGTACAGGAACCCAGGCCCCACCCTCCGGAAGAGGAGTACCCCGCAGAAGAACCAAATACTTATCCTGAAGAGGAGCCCCACAATGAGGAAGTAAATAAGCGTGAGGTGCCAGTGGAAGAGGGTGTTGTGCGTGGGGAGAACAAGGAAAGCAATGAAGACGAATTTCCACCTCACACACAGGAAGTTCATCATCTCGTCAAGCCAAGGAAAACGCCGCTTAAGAAACCAACTCGTTGGGATCCTATTGAGTACGATTTGCGTGAAGACAGTGACGATGAATTTGAGATGGCTACAGCATTGCGCCCAGTCTATGAGGAGGAAGAGGAATTCGGGGTGCCCAAGTTCAAAAATGGCGAGCCAGACTATCAAGGTGAGTATCTTTCCTGTTTTGATGAGCCCAATTTGTTGTACCGCATTTTGAACCGCGAAGAAAAAACTTGGGCCTTTTACAATGATACTCGCCATTATGAAATGCACGTGCGGTTCATCTTTGGTAAGAACTCCGTGCTAGAGGCACTTGGAAATACGAAAATTCATACTCGGTCCGATGGTGAGCATGTGGCTGAGGTCTTTGTTTACCCCGGAGAAACGGAAATGTTCATTAAGGGCAGGGTTAATGGTTTCACAAGCAAGCTCCGCGCGGTTCCTTTGTCGGAGGAATACCATCAACGCCGTCAAGAAGTTGCTGAGGACGCCATTCAACGTGAAGTGGCTCAGATTAAGGCAATTGTTGGGGATGAGAGGAGTGCAGAGAAGGTTTTGGAGGCTTGTTTGGAGAATAATCTCCCTTTTGTGGACCTGGAGTTTCCACCCTGCCAGGCATCATTGGATACTGGCGCGAAGAAGCCTTTCAAGCATCTCCCTTGGGCACGACCCTCATCTTACCTCCCCGACGAACTGCTGGATCAAGTTCGCCTTTTCAGAGGTCCCATTCGTCCCAGCAGTATTGATCAGGGAGAATTGGGCGACGCTTGGTTGATGTGTTCCATTGCCGCGATTTCAGAGAATCCCCAAAGCATTCTTAAAATGTTCCGGCATCCTGTAAGTGCTGAAATAGGTAGAAAAGAGCGCGCTATTGGTGCCTACCGTGTGACATTCAACAAAAATGGCCTCTGGCGCAGTGTTATTGTTGACAACTACCTTCCAATTTCCGGTGGTAAACCAAAGTATGCAAAGAGCACTCATGATCTTGCAGAAATATGGCCTTCTATCTTGGAAAAGGCATTTGCCAAATTGCACGGCAGTTATGCGCACATTTGCTCGGGCGATCCACTTCACGCAATTCAGGACCTGACGGGTTATTCATACTGCAGGTTTGATGATGCCTTTACCAAAGCTTCTCAATCTGGCAAAGATGATCTTTTCCAGGACTGGCTAAAGTACAATAAGGCTCACTATCAAATGATGCTGAGCACCCCTGGCAAGGATCCAAATGATAAGGGTTCGAGTGATCCCAAATTGGTTAAACTCTACCAGAGTGTGGGACTCATCAGTGGACATGCGTACACGGTTTTGGATACGCAATACTTTGCCGATCATGAGCTGCGTTTGGTGAAGTTGCGCAATGCATGGGGTCGGACCGCTGAGTGGAATGGTGACTGGTGCGGTGATGACGAAAAGTGGGAACAATACCCAGACGTGGCTGAGGCTTGTAAATTTCAGAAGGATGATAATAGCGCCTTCTGGATGTCATGGGAAGCTTGTCTATATTACTTCAACGGTGGGGGCGTTTCCTTTTCCCATCCGTCTCTCAACGATTACCGTGTGCCCTCGAAATTTGTGGAGTGCACGCCATCTTGCGTTCTCGAAGTCAGCGTTGAGCAGCCCACATGGATATGCTTTACAATTTCTCAGCAGGACAGACGTGGACGCCAAGATGCCGTTGAGTACCAGCCTGTAATGTTGAGCATTGCGCAACCCTTTGAAAAAGGGCTCTATAAGGTTGTTCAAAACAGCTCTGCTGATGCATACAGTCCAAGTTGCGACAAGTGGATTTTTTTGCAGGCTCGTGACGTCAGTCTGATACACAAGTTCCTACCGGAACACTCGCCATACCTCGTCATACCTCGTCTCATGTCAATGACCGGGCAGGAGGGGGAAGTACCATACGCGCTGGGATTTTCTTGCAACAGGGTTGTTGGACACGATGGCGTGACCGTCCAATTCAAGGCTCTTGACAAGGAGAATAAAGTGATGCACAACTTTCCCAAATTTGATCCTGAGGCCACACCTGTCGTGGTGGACTACCAAGTAAAGTCACCCCACAAGGGGTACCCAGAGATGAAGCAGGGCCAGACGGTGTATTAATTTTTTTTTTTTTGCAGGACGGAGGAAGATAAGTTGGGAGGGAAAGTGCGAGAGAAAAGGGAAGGAGCAGGGAAAGAAGGGGACAATTCAATAGCGGTAGTGAGCCCGAGCCAGACCGAAGCCACAGACGAAGCAAGACCAGAAATTTCCAATGAATGCGAGTAGGGGGTGGGAGAGGAAAGAAAACAACGAGAACAAGAAAGAGGAATAGCCGTTTTATTTCTAAAAAAGAGATAATAGTTGCAAAACAACAACAACAACAACTAAGGGGAACAAGGAAAATATGCAGGGATGCGAAGACACCCACGCACAAGAAAGAAAAGTATCCTGACACGCTGCAAAATGAAGTAGCAAGAAAACAACAACAAGAGGAAACGATGTGCCGGACGTTGTGGTTGCTTTCGACTATGTATTGGGAAGCCTATTTATGTATTAATATTAAAAACAGAATTTAATTGCAGTTGCTGCTTTCCAGATTTGTGTTTTGTTAGCATTATCCCCCATTTTTTGTCTTCTTTTTGGTATGTATCTAAAAATATATTTATTTGGTTACCCTTTCTTTGCAATGTATTTATGCCTTTACCGAAGGGATGTGCGTTGTAATGCTACATATTTTGGCGACCGTGTTTTTTTTTTTTTTTATATATATCTGTTTCTTGCTGAAACTGAGTGTGCAGTGTGTTTGAGAAGGAATAATAAAACAAAGGGACGGAAGGAGAGAGGTGGATTTTGAAGACCTTGTGAAAAGAAAAAAACACACACACACAAAAAAGTTGGACTTTATTTGAAGGTAACATGTGAATAATAAAAAGAAAACAGAAGATCTTTGGGAGGAAAAAAGGAAAAAAAAAAAAAGACTAACATTTACAAACATAGTGTTTATATGATTTTATCTTTTTCTTTGTCATTGTTTGTGCTTGGGCGGAGGATCGGGTTTTCTCCGTCACGCGATACTCCGTCATGAAATGAAAAATTATAATTATCTTTTTTTTTTTTTTCTCTCTCTCTCTCTCTCTCCCCTTTATGAGTTCTCTTTTTTTTCTCTTTGGGCAATGTGAGTAGTACTCTCCGCACTCTTTTTCACTCGCTGCACGCGGTAATCATCCCGCATCCAAAAAAAAAAAAAAGAGACCAAGAGAAAAAAGGAGAAAAAAAAGGAATTTTTTTTTTTTGTTTTTCTTTTGCTCTTCTGTTTCTTCTGGTTCTGATGGTGGCGAAGTGGGGAAGGACAGGAATTCCTACCGGAATGGGTTGGAAACAAAACACTGTAAGCTCTCATGGGAAAGAAATGGTGTTCTGTCCACTCTGTTGAATTATGCGACATACTTTTTTTCTTTCCTAAGCATTTTCTGCATTGATTTTCTTTATATCGCGTGCTTCTAACTGAAAGCGACGCTGTACGGAGTTTCTAGGGAACTCAAGAAGACACACACACACAAAAAAAAAAAAACTGGCAGATACATTAAGCAAACAAAAAAAGAAACAAGGTGTGGTGCACGCTTACACAATTGTTAACAGGGAGAAATTGGGTCATCACTGTTGAACGCTTGGCAAGTACAGGTGGAAAAGGAGCAATCCGGCAACCGAGGAGCATAGGCGAAGGAAGAAGCAAATAGCGGCAATATTGCTTATTCCTTTTTGCCTCCTCCCCCCTTTTTTTTATTTACTGCTTTACCAAAGGAAATGGCGTCATACGGGCCAAAGGATGGAACTGTGAGCGGTGGCAGTATGCAAATTCTTAATGATGAGTTTGATGAGGGAACAGTTGTCGACGTTAACAAGTTATCGGAGTACCGATATGGACTTCCCGTATATCAGGGAACCTCAACCGCGTGCTTTGATGGTGGTCTTTTGTTTCGTATCGTGGAAGAAAAAAACGGCGAACGTTGGTCTTTCTACAACGATACTCCAAATCTTCTGATGCAGGTGGAACTAGACTTTGAAAAGGGGTCTAATATTAAGGCACTTGGAAATACGACACTTGAGCAAAAGCCTAACGGTTCCATTGTTTGTAATGTAACTGTGCACCCACTTGAAACGGAACTTTTTGTAGAAGGTGAACCTAATGGGTACACGAGTAACATTAGGGCAGAAGGGGTTTCTGATGAATATCTCAAAGATTTGGCTGTGCAGGACAAAAACACTATTGATAAGGAAACTTACGAACTATACAAATTGGTTGGAGAATCTTCTTCATCTGATGAGATGGTGAAGGTATGCGTTGCAAAAAAAGTGAAGTTTGTGGATTTCGCTTTTCCACCAGAACAGGAATCACTCCAAATTGGTTCTATTATGCAGATGAAGGTGATACCTTGGGAGCGACCATGCATGTACTTATCAGATGAAAACGCCAAACAAATTCGTTTATTTCGCAGTGGCGTTCACCCAACCAATATTGATGAGGGTGATTTGGGTGATTCATGGTTCATTGGTGCGGTGGCCACTCTTGCAGAATTCCCAGACAGAGTGCGTGATATATTTCGCCACCCTGTTAGCATAGAAGAGGGCAAAATGGAACGTGAGGCTGGCGTGTATCGTGTCAATTTAAATAAAAATGGCTGGTGGACGAATGTTATTATCGATGATTACTTACCCTGTATGGGTGGTTGCCCAAAATTTGCTCGATCTAAACGGGACCCAATGGAATTGTGGGTTTCGTTGCTGCAAAAGGCATATGCAAAGATACATGGAGGTTACGGGTTTATCATTGCGGGTGATCCACTACACGCACTGCAAGATCTGTCAGGCTATCCTTGTTCTTCTTTTAACAATGCTCTGACTGAGGCAAGAGTAACGGGGGGTGGAGAATTGTTTGGAAATCTTTTTCAGTACAGTAATCTCGGTTACCAGGTCCTATTTGTTGCTCCTACAAGAGAGACATTGAACAGGGGCGCAATGAATGGGGTAAGTGAGTCAACTTACGCTCGTGTGGGCTTGCGCCTTGGACACGTGTACTCCGCCTTGAAACTTTTATTTTTTCCAGAATATAATCTTCGCCTCGTGCAGTTACGTAACCCATGGTATCGTGATGGAGATGCTATTTGGAATGGGTTCTGGAAGAAGGGTGACAGAAAATGGAAGCAATATAGTGACGTGAGCGCCGCTTGTAACTATACAGAAGAGAATGACTTCACTTTTTATCTCGAGTGGGATGAGGTCTCAAGATTTTTTATGGGTTGTGGTGTATGCTTCATTCAACATCCAATGTACGACTTTCGTGTTCGTGGCTGCTTCATGCAAAATGTTCCCACCACCTGTTTGGAGATCTCCGTGGGTGTTCCCGTCATTATTTGCCTTATGCTCTCCCAAGATGACATGCGTGGTACCAACAAGCAGGAGTATTCTCCGATCATGATCAGCGTTGCACACGGTTTTGGTTCCATGACACCGATGAGTGTCGACCTCAACAGCGGTTTTGACACCGACCACCCTTCACCTGAGTATGCATTCTTCCAGACCCGTGAGACCAGTATGTTCTACGAATTCCTGCCCGAAAATTCACCTTATTTGGTGGTACCACGTGCCATGAGCATGTATCCGAAACTACCATACGTTTTTGGCTTGCGTAGTCCGGTGGAGGTGGGTACACCAAATAGCCAGGTGCGAGTTGCGTTTCGTGCCCTGTCACCCGGATGTGGCATCTTTGATAACGCCAGGAATTTTGACGTCTCCACGGTGTCGTGCCAAACGGAGTATCAATCAATTAATCCTGAGCAGTTTTTTCCTGACATCTACGCTGGTACCGTCATTCAAGTTGAATAGTCATTGAAGTGGAGGGAAACATGGTTGAGCAGGAGAGAACTTGTATGATGAACCAGCAATGCTGCAAAAGCTGGAGCCTCAACCCTCTCTCCCTCCCAAAAAAAAGAAAAAAAAAAAAGAAAAAAAGCCTAAAAATCCCTCCTTTTAGAGTTTTTTTTTCCATCAAGTCATACACGCGCGCGCGAAAAAACAACAACAACAACAAAAGTGATGATTGAGGAATACATGAGGGGGATTGGAGAGCGGTGCTGTGCATAACGTCTCTTGCAGTGCATGCAGTCAGGAGTCGAAATGAATAGAAAAAGAGTAAAAATTAAAGAAGGAAATTCAATTAATGCACTGACGTTAGTCAATGGTCATGGCAAAAGACTCATTGTTCTATCTCATTACTGTTCTGCCTCCTATGTTTATTTATTTATTTTTATATCTTTCCATTGTCTATTCTCATTTCTTAACAACACATGTATATATTTTTTTTCTTATTGATTCAAAAAATTCTTTTTTAGTTCCCTTCTAAGATGTCTTAAAAAAAAAAAAAATAATAATAAAAAAGGGAGGGTATTTTCATTGTTCTTTTGCCTTTCCACCCCTTTTCCTTGCCTTCTTTATGTGCAATAGAAAAGGCAAGAAAGAAAAGGATTATGAATATATTACAAGAGATGTGTTGACAGAACGACAGTATGAGAAGGGAAAAAGCTGCGGAATGAGTTTGAAAGCAATTGATGTGAATTATATTTATTTCTTTCAACACCGCATTTATATATATATATATATATATATTTATTTATTTATTTATTTATTATTATTATTATTATTATCATTTTTATTTTTTGCGGTGTGGAGCTTTTACGGTAGTAATTTTTTCATGGTGTCGGCCCCGAGGACACGAACGGAACCCTCCTGAATTTTTTATCTTTTTTTGTGCTTTGCCACACATTGTCTTTTCATCACCGTTTGAACAGGTTAACACTATTCCCTACAAGAGGAGGACATTGGGGGAAGGGGGCATTCTGCATATTCTCCTCTTGAAGGGACCTACCTTACTAGGTGCAAAAGTGGATGGTGTTTGCTGTTGGATTTCGCACTTCTTTTTTACTTTCCTTTTCCATTCCCTGAAAATACCGGGTACCAGACACCGAAAAGATGTGCATTGCGATGATTTGTGAATGACTCTTGTGCAGAGGGGAGTTTTCCGACGCCTGGGTCCTCTTAAATCCGTGCGTCCGTGTGTTGGATCT